AGAACGCGTCCGCCCCGTCCGGCGGCTCGGCCCGCGCCGCCGGCTACGACCTGTACAGGTAAGAGAAGTGGGAGTGGGGGGGTCCTCCCGTAGGCCCAGGCCGCCGCCCTCCAGTGAACCCCCCTCTCGTGAGACGCCCTGCCTTGCCCTCCCCCCTCCAGTGAAAGTGGATGAGGTGTCTCATCATCTCCCCCCTCCAGTGAAGGATCCCCCTCCTCCTCCCCCTCCCTCTGTGCTGGCAGGATGAGGCTGCGAGCAGCTACACGGGAACTGAGCTCTGTATCACACGGTCTTCCTGCAGCCCGGATCGGGTTTCTTGTGCAGGAAGGAACACAACAGCAGATATTAAGAATAAATCAGCACAAGTGACCATGTTTTTCACCTCAGTGTCGTCATTGGCACGCACACACAGTAGCCGGGCTCGAGGCTCCGCGTTGGCGCGCAGTGGCGCTTGCCTCTCAGTTTCCCCCACAACTGAGCAGCCGTCACGGCGCCCTGGGTGATGCACCCCCCCCCCCATTCATTTTATAATAGTTGGAGTCTGAGAGATGTCAAAATTGGCAGTGCCAGCATCAGGATTTGCCACATGTGAGGTCCCTACTACATGTTGCGTAAGTGGCGCAATTCACTGGTGAACCGTGCAGTAAACTAGGCCACGTGTGCCAAGTAAGACTGGTTACAAGTACAAAGTAGTTATCTCTCAATTCACTGGTGAATTGGGCCATAAATGTAGACCAGCCGCAGGTGCAGAGTAATTATCACAGGACAAAAATGACAAAGCACCTGTAAAAAGAGCCAACTAGCTCTAAAATTAGTGCTAGAAAATGTGTAACAAAACCAGAGCTGGTTTCTATGCAGTTTCAATTTGAACATGTAGCAGGGCCTTTATTAGTATCTACTTTCAATTTTGCAGAAGTGTAGACAGCCCTTAAAGTAATACCATAGTATTAACATAACTCAAGGGTGTCAGAGATGCAGCCAAATCATCTGGAGCCTGGTGCTAGCCCTGGAGGGTTGGCACCTGCTCCAGCTCCCATCCCAGAGTAGCCACCATGTGCAGCACAACCTGGAAGTAGTCACATGCCGTTGTGGGGCCACGCTAGACAGGGTGCCACACAGCACAGCCCCTCCAGCTGGAGCAGAACTGCACTGCACACTATACCCGCTCCAGATCCAGAATGCAGGGCTGGTCCAGTCCAGCCCCACATCACTCATCTGGCCTACAGGGCCAAATGAATTTGATACTCCAGTATAACTAATAGTAGTCTGAGCAGTCTCTTTCTTTTCTCCCCCTTTGTGTTTCAGTGACTTCATTTCTTTCTATATTTAGTACCCCTCTTCTGCAAGCCCAGTCAGCATTTGAGGAAGCAGTCTGTAGCCTACAAAAAATTATGCTTCTGAGTGACCTGCATCATTTTCTGCCTAACTTTAGACTGACATGATTAACACTCTTTCTTGATACTGTAGTAGTTGTTCTTTCCCCATCTTTACCTGCTTTAATTATGGATTTCTGTGGGGGTGGTCATTGACTTACAAAGATGATATTTAAAACGTTCTTCACTGTTAACATGCATCTGTTTTAATTTAGTGCCTATGACTATGTGATTCCTCCTATGGAAAAGGCTGTAGTTAAAACTGATATTCAAATTTCCCTCCCATCTGGATGTTATGGCAGAGTGGGTAAGTTAAACTGAAGAAAAGCGTGCAATGGTTATTCCTGTAGCTTGCCACAGGACCTAGTCCATGCAACAAAATTACATTAATTTTAATGTCTGTTTCTTTATTAATTTTAAATAGATGCAACCTTTAAATCTATTTGAATGGCTACTTAGTTTCCAGAAAAGCTTGAATTAACCAACTTGATGCAATTACTATGCCAAAAAACCCTTTCTGCAATTTTCCTCGTCAGACTACATCCCTGTAAGCCCAGGAAAACAATTAGCAGGTTACTTGCGAGTTGTGGTATCTCCTGTTGAAAAACCTTGAAGACTTGGTTGATACCACTTGACAAAACAAAATATTTTGACAATAAGAGTGGATAAGTAATTTGAGCTGTTGGAGAACATGCATATAAAATTGTTTTGATTTAAGTGTAGACTTAAGTAGTAGAATCATGCATTTCAACAGCGGATAAGCACTTACAAAATACCTACCTGACTTCTTGTAAACTGTTATACCTTGAGTATTAATACAATACTATGGATTCCAGGGAGTTCTTGTGCAACCTGTACATAAACAAATCTGAAGAGTTAATACCTAGTTTAACTACATGCTACATTATGCAACTACAGAGAAGTCATAGTTGCACTTCTGTGGAGAGAAGTCATTTCTGGACAAATCTATTTAGGGACCTAACTGTGTTTCATAACTAACATTCAGCTGAAACTTTAAGCCGGATTATGTCAGTAGCACACCTAGTACCAGTTGCACATCCTAGAGTCGCCTGGAGAAAAGGGATTCTTATCTGTAGACTCTACCTGCTAATCCAGTTTATTAAAGAGAAATGTCTCTTAGAAAATTGACTGATTAGCTATTTCAGAATCATGCACAGAAAGTAGGGCCAATTTACTTAACTGGTTGCACATAATGTAACCTTTTTTCAAACATTTTTCAAGCCATTTCTGGATATTGTATTAACTTTAACACAAAGCTAGCCTGGTTAAATTAATTGTTTTGAGACTGTTGAATGTCATACTATAACATACAGTAGCTTATTCCCATTATGGTGTGCAGATTAAGTCTGGTTGCAGTTTATAAACATGGAAAATTAATGTATGATTGTAGTCAAATCTTGGTTAATTTTTTGGTTTCTGAGCTTAACTAAAGTAATTTCTTTTAAGTTCTGCACACAAATTTCCTGTAAAGCAACTACAGGGTAGGAAATAGCAAACTTTCTCTTTTAAAATACTTAAGGTACTTGGATACTGATAAAAGGAGGTAAGCTATTGCTTCAGTTTGCTGCTGCATCTCTAAAAAGTTTCAACATTTGGAACCAAAATCCTTTTGTTAAATTCAAGAAAGGCCAATGATTAAATTACAATAGACTAAAATAACTTTTGTTTAAGAGTGGTCCCTCTAGGGGAGCTGAGGTTTGCTACCATTTTTTTTTAAATCTTTGTAAACCTAAAAAAATGCACAATGTAATAATCATACAGGGAGGAAGGGAGCCTGTTTGGGCATATGGGTATAATTTGCTCAATTGTGCAACAAAATGAAGACCAGCAGCCATCCCAAGATAAAAATGTGACCAGAATTTCAATGCTCCCTTACTAGGAAAACTTAAAAGAATGGAAACCATATTTCACATATCCTAGTGCTTTCTCTTAAGTAAAGCTTAACAAGTAAAGCTCTTAAGCCAAATTTAATAGCTATAGCCAGATATGTAATTAGCAAGTTTTGTGCCTAGGGCAAAATCCTACCTAGGAGTATATGTGAGGTGAGGTATATCAGCATTACCTGAACTGAGGATTCAACAAGTTCCTAACTGCTGCTGCAATGAACTCAACCCATCCCTAGTTGCTGCTGCTGATCCAGCAGTCATACAGCCACCCTGAGAAGGTCACCATTCTGGCTGGTGCTGTGCTTGCCCACCCCTAATTATGCTACAGGCCATAACAAAGGAGCCTGAAGCCAATCAAAGCCTGTCCTATAGTTAATTTATATTGGCACCTATTGAATAAATACTGTTAATTAGCTGCAGGCTACACCAAAATTTCAGTTTTAAATAGAACTGTGAATAATGTTGTCTTGTGCAACTAAAATACGTTGCATTTTTGTGTTTTATTTGTTGGGTCTACCATTAAAACCATTTCCATATTAATCTCAAAAGCTAATGATTAAATGATCATCTGATATAGCCTTCTTCTAGTGATAGTTGAGGAAAACGCCAGGATTTTAGTTGCTCTAAACAATGATTCATGCAATTGGTTTAAAAACTGCAGTCTTACTGTAGCCTGAAGCTATTGATACATATTTATTTTAAAACACATTGCAACCGCTTACTGCAAAATTTGTAGGACAACATGTTGGTTTTATAAGGAATCTAAGAAGAGCTTATGAAGATGATAGGGTTGATGGTTTTAAGCAATCTGCCCTATATAGAATGTATATTGATGCTCGCTGTTGAAAAGGCTCTTACATTTGGGAAAATGTTTTGTTATTTTCTAGCTCCACGTTCTGGTTTAGCTGCTAAGCACTTCATAGATGTTGGCGGTAAGATATTTTAAATTCCCATTACTACATTTGTAAATTTTTATCTTGTATCATGATTCAGGTACTTAAGTTGTAAAGTGATAACTATAGTTTCATTAACAGCATTGCTCTTAAGGGTTACATTGAAATTATTATTAACTTTAAATGGTAGTCTTATGTTGTCTAGTTACTTAAATCTCAGAATGCATCTTATAATTATTCTTAAGTCTCTAAACTGTTTTGGACTGTATCTTGTGTAGTTGAGGTTTTTCATTTACTTGCTAGTCAGTCTACCAACATTTTGGACAGGTAAGAAGAAAAATTGGGTTATATTTTGGGCATCTAAACCCATAATTCTCTTGTTATCTGCTTTATTAATTTTTCAGGTACAGCAAATAGTAATGTCTGAAGTAATACACAACACAACTATTAATATGTGGGCCAGGTGCCTAACACGAATGCTCATCAACAAGATAACAATAAAACTAAAATTAAGATGTGTTATCCTATACCTCTCAAGAATTTAAGAGGCATATTTGAACCTAACCATACCTTTCTAGTATTAACTTATTCTAGGAAAAAAGTGAAAACTTGAAGTTCTTTACCTGTTAAGTCTCGAATTGAAACAGTTTCAATATATTCAGGAGCAAATGTTGCACATCATTGTTCAAAACCAGTGATTTCAGTTCTCTGTTATTCAGTTAACACAGAATGGCATCAAATAAGTTTGCATATGCAAAGTGAAGATTATTTCTCTTCCAAACATGAGGTAGTAGAAAAGTCTCCATGGAAGTGAAATTTACCAGAGGCTTGCATATTAAATAATAAAAATTGCCTGGTGCATAAGAAGGAAGGACTCTACAATCCATGTCTGTATTGATTTGGATTGCTTGCTAAAATTCAGTTTTATCACACTGCTAATAATTTGTATATAAAGATCAATATCTCTGTCCATCTGAGTTGCTGCTGCTGTCACAGAATCTCTGTAAATGGGGAGAGACGGCTAGTGCTTCATACCAGCTGAAGATCATTAGAAGACACTAAGGTTTTGCTCTGCTACTTACATGCTCCCTACTGCAAGGGAGTTTGAGTCCATCCTCTTAAGGGAGCTTTTTTCCCCCCTCTGATGGCATGGAAAATACAGCATCAACATATGATTCAGTTCAGTGGTTCTCAAACTTTTTTTCACGGGCCACTTGAAAATTGCTGAGGGTCTTGGCCGATCACTTAATAAACTTTTTTTGTTCTACAAATCAAAGCACACAACTCATATTTTAATATCAGTAGTTTTACCTTTCTAATGCAATGGATGTGCTTGTTTTTCTGAGCAAAGTTCTGGGAAGGGTGTAATGTTTGTCAGCTTTAGCACCTGAATGGAGCTCTTACGGACCAGTGGTGGTCCGCAAACCACAGTTTGAGAACCTCTGATGTAGTTATTCTCCTGAATGCTATTTGCTACACATAGCAGTGCAAAGTAGAAAGTTATACTAATTTACTACACTTCTTTTCTATAATTTTAAATAATATTATCACTGCATGTACACTGGGGTACAGAAAAAGGATGCATAGTTAAGCTGAGAAATAGGAAAGTTGGCATGAAACCTTGAGTGCTTAACTGTGCAACCTTATGTTCAGCATTTTGAAAGAGCTAATAAAACACGCACCATGAGTGGAAAACAGTCCTGACATTTGGTATGGTGCCTCATGTGGGGGGGGGGAGGCATTGATATGTTTTCATGGAATATGCATCTCATAAGCATACTTGTCCTTGTGAATGAATGTTTTATTATACTATAATGATTACAACGCCATCTTTTTCTGCTGATTAGTCAGATCAGCTGTGCTGAGATGCATCCTGATACAGCGAATGCTGCAACAAAAGCAAAATCTGTTTATATCCTATTATCTAGAGAGTGTTTGGCTGTCACTTTGTGTCCCTGTTCCTGCTGACGGTACTCAGCAGAAATTAATACTGCCTAACTCTTCTGTACAAAAGTCAAAGTATGTGGAGTGAGGGAGTGATGGTACCATTGACTGTGGTTCTACCTTCATCTCCTAACCATTCTGCAGAAAACTTTCAGCTGGTTCTAGGGAGGAGAGAGCTGATATGTCGGCACAAAAGCAGTGTCTATGAACAGATAGATGGGACAATTATGTTTTGAGGTTTAATGAAACGGTTACTGAGCAAGGAAAGGGAAGCCTGGACATAGTGAGAATGGTATCCTAGCTCACTTCCAAAGGAGGTAAGGTATGTACTGAATTTAGTTAATTCTTCAGGGTAAGCTTTTTGCCCTAAATAACTGTATTAACTACCTTAATGTTCAGGTGGAGTTTCATTCCTACTTTTAAGTACCTACTTTGGGCTGTGAACAAGATATGATTTTTAAAATAAAAAGGAGAGGTATGTCAGAGTATCTATTGGAAACCTGAAAAATCTTAACTCGGCAAGAAACAATGCTTGGCGAAGAGAGAGACACCTTGCGTTACAGAATAGTGCCAAAGTGGAGATGGCACACAATACCAGATGTACATAGGAAGAGCTGAAGGGGATGATCAGAAGCTGGAACATATTATGAAAAGAAAATGTTTGAGTGGCAAACTTCACAGCAAATGTTACAGTATTAGGTAGAGCCGTAGTTACTGAAATTGCATTAAGATGCTTACCTATCTTAAAAGGCACAGAAAATAGTGCAGGTGAGATTCTCATCTGCCGTAAATCATTGGAGTCAGTAACTTGTCTTTCCAATAAAAATTAGTCTGGCACTAAAACCAGAAGGCAACAGTAAGACTATTTATATTAACTCTTGGCAATTCAAAAGCTTAAATAGCACTAAAAAAAAATTCAGCAATGCTCATTTAACTTTACACAGAAGTGAATGGACATCTTAAATCAATGAACTCATGCTTATTTACTCTGGCTAAAGACCTGGATACTTAAGTTTTTCTATCCCAGTTGAGAGACTCTGAGGAAAGATGTTTTGCTGGTGATCAGAACCATCCAGTTAATTAAAATTAAACTGCCCTTGTCAAGCAAAATATGAACATCACTGAACATAACACCTTGGTTTTGGTTTATCATGGACCAAATATAGATATTCAGATCTCATTTTTGTTGGAAGTTGGTATCATTTTAGGATAAACTGATTCCCACACTTAAGACTTCTTAATTAAAAAAACAGTGGCTTAGTCTCTCTCCTAACTATCATAGGATTCTGCAGTCCACACAGAGCACTGGTGTGTACTGGTTGAGCATGAGGATCTTGTACATACAGCTATATGATTGTCTATTTTCCCAGAAAATATTTAGCAATAGCTAGTAGATCAAGAAGGTAAACTAGGAATAGTTACACATCTCTAAAATGATGTGAACCAACACTTCAAGTGTGGTTTTGGCATTACATGGAAAGGTTGTTTACTGTTATAGCTTTAAATGTAGTACTAATACTTCAACTGAGTTCAGCTTGAAATCACAGGGATGATTCCATTCTGTATATTTCTTAGAGATATCAGCCAAAGAACAGTTAAATAATTTAGATTTTTGTGGGTGAAAATGTAACTAGGGTGTCTAGATCAAAGTAGTTGCACTTTAAAAATAAGATTATGCTTTTGAACATACTGAGACTGTAGTATACTTTGAGTATTATTACTTGGAGTAAAACTAGCATGAATTATGTCAAATAAATAAATTTAATTGTCTGTCTTTAATATACAGAAGTTTCTAGTCCAGATTTTGACTGACATACACTTTCAGGACAGAAGTCCTTTCAGACCATTTGTGATGTCACACTGAGTACTAGTTCAGAAACCTAATGAGTTTGGTGCAGATATTTACCGGGGGGGGCGGTATATATGTGTGTGGGTGTACGCGCACACACACACACACCCTGTAAATACTTCTACCAAACTCGTGTGTGTGCGCACATATAAAATCTGAATTTGTTACTTATGTGCAGGATATACATTCTCTCAGCATGCCAACCACACTGCCTCATTCAGCAAATGTACTGAATTACACATCTAACTAAACCTCAGTAAGGTTGAGAATATAAATAGTTTTGTCTAGTTCAGTTTACAGCCAGGGTAGATTTCCCATCACGTATTGTGTGTGAAATATTGACACACTCAGTTAGCTAGATACTGGTATACTATAATTTAAAGCAAGTGAAGCTATTTGTCTAGCACTGTGCACTTAATAGTTATGGGATTTAATGCTTGTGCAGGAGTTCTGGATCCTTTGATAGAAGGTTCTAGAAACAATAATATAAAGTATATCACTAGAAAATTAGAGAGCAAGTATTATATATTACCTATATTGTGTTATGGCTCTTAAACTTTGTCTATACATGCTTATACAGACTTAATAAAAAAAGCCCCCACCTAGTTAAATCAGTGCAAGTCTGTGTGCAGGCTGGTGTTTACACTAGGAGTTTACCAAAATTCCCCTTGTTTCTATTACAAATTCCCTTAGGATCCTCATTGTAGCTGAAGCTTTTCTGTCATACTGAAAGCTAGTCTAAGTTAAATTAATTATAACAGGAGCCTTGTCCAATCCTTGGTCTCTTGCTGGCGATAGTACTGATCCAGCAGATCTGATGATAAGGAGTGGTGGGAGTGTTTTTGGGGGTTTTTTTCCCATAAAGCTTTTTTGAACACTGGGGAGCTTTTAGGTGCAGCATCCACACTGACATAAAACTTTTCTTCATTGCTATTTTGATAGTGGCTTTTTAATTTAAGTTTGCTCCAAGTGGCTTGGAGTAGAATTAGCTGGGGCAGGGCGTGGGATGGAGCAGAGCAATGGCATTGGGGGGGATGACGACAACGACTCCAATTGCTGTGTGCACCTTGGAAGAGGCATGGGAGGCACATGCCCCCCCCAGTCTGTGCATGGGGTAAGGGTGGGCTGCCACTGAAGACTTGGGATGAGCAGGGTGAGTGGCAGCACTGCTGGCAAGGGGGGCTACGGAGTGGGCTACAGCCACCCCAAAATTCACTATAGTCTCACTCCCAGAGCTGCCACTGTGCCCCCGGCCACCCCAAGCACAGCCCAGGCCCAGCCCCCGTGCCAGAAAGCCTGATACGGCCCTGAGCACACAGCAGGCAGCCTGCCCTCACCCTGTGCACAGATCTGGGGGGGGGCACATGTTCCCCATGCCTCCCCTGGGGTACGTGCAGCACTGGGAGTTGCCCCCGGATGAGCCGTGGCTCTGCCCTGCCCTGCCCTGCCTGTGCAGCGCCTGCCTGTGCCCCCAGCCACTGTGGGGGCCTCGATCTGCCCCTCCCTCCCGCCTTACTGTCTGGACGCTGCTCTCCAAGCTGCCAGACTACATTCCTAGTTACGTGTATGCTGTGGCTGCTCTCATGCACATGGCATTTAATCAATGGCATGATCGGCCACATCATCCATTAAAAGCAGATTGCCACTGTCAATTTTCTTTTTATCGATATGATATGGACGACTGTATCGGTGCACCTCTAATATTTACAGTTGAATATTAGTGAATGTCATTTTTGGGCATGGACAGATTAGATTATTTGGACTGTGTTTCAAAAGCTGATCTGCAGTAACTATCCATGTAGCCCCTTCCTCCGTCAATAAATCAAACCTAAACTGTGGTAATCTGATAGTGGTTTCATTCTGAAATAAATTGCCCCAGTTAACAAAACAATTAAAACAGCTGATGAAGAATCACAATCCCCTTTTTTATTTAAAAAAAAAAAAACCAAAAAAGTTTCTGCAATAGGGACCAACATCATTAGCACAGTGATAAAGACTTGTTGAAATACCCATATTAAATTTGAGGAAAACATGAGCCTTTTTGGTTTGTAAAGTTAGATTTTCATTTGGATGTTCCAGGAGTTAGTATATACTTTTAACTGCATCCTTCAGTAGTGTAAATGATACCATTCTGAGGTTATGAAATTCATCTACTAATCTAGGTATTGCACTTAATTACTTTTTATTGCAGCTGGAGTCATAGATGAAGATTACAGAGGAAATGTTGGTGTTGTACTCTTTAATTTTGGCAAGGAACCTTTTGAAGGTATGTGTCGAATTTGGCAGAACTTATGTTTGCAGTCAGCCTCCTAAATTTTCCCTTAATTTTATCAAGTTTAACGTAAAAGTTTCACGAATAGTTATGGCTGGTTACCGTACAACTAGCAACCATTTGCAAATCAGTAGGGAAAATCCTCAGCCAGACAGCATGAAAAGGCTTGTGCTCCCAGTACAATAGATAGGATAGGATAGATTGTAGCCCAGGCAGGGAGGTGAGAGAGCTCTGTTCAAGAGTTAACTTTTTTATGTTCAGTGAGAGCTGCTTATGGTTTACCAAAAGTGAAATTCCAGCATAATGAACCTAATTAGGACAACAGTTAAGAATGATGAAGACCTCCCATGATGAACGATGGCCTGAGGAATATTAATTTGGGAAAAAGATGAAAATACATAATCTGCAAATGGTTGTTTGAAAAATGTATCTATCTGAAGCTGTTTTGCCTAATTTAAACTTTATTTAAATCATTAATGTGAACTTGAGAAATTTTGAATGGCTTTAAATTGCCAATTAATCATAATTTAAACCTTAGAGTTGCTACTAAAGTCTGTATAATTGAGATTCAAATCAAGAGCTAATTCTCTACTATTTTATGACATTTTAAAATGCAGATTGTTTTAAAAAACAGTTTCAATTTAATTTTCTTAAGTTAAAAAAGGGGACAGGATTGCCCAGCTGATCTGTGAACGTATCTTTTATCCTGATCTTGAGGAAGTTCAGGTAAGTTAGTGGAATGAAACATTTTGTTTGGCTTTTAAGACTTATATGAAAAGCTATTTTTAAGCTCAGATTCCTGGTAGTATCAATAGCTGCCCAAGCAAACTAAAGAATCTCTATAACTTTCCTTTTTTATCCAAGGTAACACAGATAACTATAACAGTAGTATGTAAATTTTAAGTCTTGGAAGGATGGGCAGGCATGGGAAGAGTTCATTTAAAAAAAATCAATGATAAACATACTCTGATTGAATTCCTACATTAATAAACTTAACACGGTTTGAGAACACTTCAAACTGTAGGAGTCCCTGCCCAGCATTTACCTAAAATGCAAGTTACATTGGTTGACAACTGTTTTCCATTCAACAGCAGAAGTGGAATGCAGATCTGTCCCTGAAACAATTAATAGGGGTTCACCGATAAAGATTTTTTTGGCCAATACCGATGGCCAATTATTAACCAGCCATATTGGCTGCTAC